TGGAAGGGGCTTGTCATTGTATGTGGTTGGTTAAGTCGATGGTTAATGTATCGTCCTTGTGTAAAAGACAATAAATCGTCCTTTAATGTATCTAATTCGCTTTTAAATTGACTAATGTTTTTCGTTTGTACTTCTTGTTTCCTTTCTTGTTCCAGTTGCCACTGTTGTAGTCTCTCTTGTTTATTTTCTTTCTCCTCCAATAGCTGTTGTAATCTCTCTTGTTTATTTTGTTGTTCGAGCTGCCACTGCTGTAAGTTTTCTTGCCACTGCTGTAATCTCTTTTCTCGTTTATTTTGCTGTTCGAGCTGCCACTGTTGCAGGTTTTCTTGCAACTGCTGTAATCTCTCTTCTTGTTTATTCTCTCATGCTTCTTGTTTCTTTTCTTTTTCCTCTAACAACTGTTGTAATTTCTCTTCTCGTTCTTCTTGTTTCTTTTCTTTTACCTCTAACAACTGTTGTAATTTCTCTTCTCGTTCTTCTTGTTTCTTTGGGCTGTTCTTGTATTGCTGCCATTAAGTCTGCTAGGCTGTAGTTTGATTTGCCGCTTGTTGTTTCCATTTTTTTTTATCCCACTGTCTGACACCAATTTGTTACGTCTCCATTTGTTAATTAATTTTCCGTAACTTCGTTCCGACGAAACTTTAGCGACACAAGTCCTTACTTAATAAAACTGGTTTATTCTTTCTGAATATAACTTTACGATACACTTAATTTCAACATTCGCGCTAAAACAAACGCTATAACGAACGTTAACTTCAACAATACTCTCTCACTGCAGATCAATTACTCACTACCTACACATTGTCCCGTCACGTTGTCACCATCTTATACATACCAGGCTACCCCCAATCTAGGAAGGTTCGAGAAAGAAGTGGCGTGATACTAGTCACGTGGACTCGCTGACGCAACAATATTCTCTGTGCGTTGGTTACAATTTAATAGTTCTTTTTCTCACTACAGTTTTCCAAATATCTGTATCCTTTAGTGTATTTATTACTTGCCCATTTATCACCACTTCTTTTGGATCTCTATCCGTAAATTTTTCTCTATATTCAACATAACACATTATATTATTCCTTCTTTCCGCAGTTTTCTTATCCTGTCCACATAATTTGGTTATATGCCTTACTTGGTCACAAAAGTAGGAAACAGTGTACCTGAGAATACCACAACAGTACGTGAAAAAATGAAACATCATAAAATGACAAAAAGGTTAAAGGGAAGAGAAAAACTTTTACTATGACACGGAAAACGTTAGAAATCTGTAAAGCGCTTATAACTATTTTATGAAAGCAACACTTACATGTAAGATTAAAAAGTCATTAGGCATAATCAATGTGCTCACGAGAAATTACTAAAATCAACATGTAACCACTTGTCATCATGCCCGCCGATAGAGGGTAGAGCAGAGGGGCAACTGCTCAGGGAAGGGGAGAAAGAAACTCAGTTATGCCGTAAAGCCCGCAAAGCACCTTTAGGCTATATCTTCGTTTAACCATTAAAAGCATAAGTTTTGGCTTTTCTTTGCATATAGCCGCTTGATACATTAATTAATTGAAATAATAATAATTAATATTTATTTGTTACTTTATAGATTTAATAGGTATTTGTTGTTACTTTATCAACGTTTTTACACTTATACTATGAGCTATGAATGGCTGCTGCGATGATTTTGCCTTGTTTAAGAGCTCGTTGCTCTCCTGATTTAGGATCTTCTTCTTAATAAGTTCTTTAAAATGTTAAAAAATAAAGAGAACCCTGGCCAAGCGAGGATGTTTGCTTCGGGGCCTATGCTAGCAATCGACACTCAAGAAATTAAAAAAAAAATATCATAGTGTTGCGTCATCGAGGTCACGTGACTGGTGTGGCGCCCTCTATTTTCTAGAACTATCTTGTTTTTTCATGAATGCTCTAGTATTTACTAGCTAGGGTAGGCGGGTATATAAAAGAGGGGATTGTGATGTGTGTATAGATAGTGAGTAATTGATCTGCGGTCAGAAGTATTATTGACGTTCGTTGTTATAGCGTTTGTTTAGCGCGATTGTTGAAGTTGAGTGTATCGGTAAAGTTGTATTCGGAAAGAATAAACCAGTTTTATTAAGTAAAGAACTTGTGTCGCAAGTTTCGTCGGAACGAAGTTACGGAAAGTTAATTAACAAACGGAGACGTAACAATAGAAATAATTGACAATTAACTTGTACCCTACACTTTCGGCTCTCATAAACCGTATGAAAATTACTTATACTTCGACGATTACAGAAAAAAAAAATTGCTACAAATTTTCAGCTAATTAGCGTGACTATTTTAGCGGGAGAAGTTCATCAAATAATGTTTAGTCACCAGAGGGACGTAGTTCAACATGGTTGGATACTGGCAGTGTTTAAACCGATCGTTCTTTTTCAGGTTTTTTGATTATCCTCGAAAGAAATGCAGGAGCAGGTTAACTTTTTATCTTAAAAGGACATTGATAATAAGAACAAACTTACCAACAGAGTATGATTCATATGCCAAAGCATTAGGGAGTTTGCTGTTTGGTAGTGGTGCTGTACGGAAGTTTTTGCAATGTGTTGAGAAGCCGAGCGTTGATATTGATAAGAGTAACAGTATTGTTACCAGAAGTAGAACTGGTAATGGTACTAGTGTTAGAACTTGTAGTACTTCACAACGTAAGTTCTTTTTTTTTTGTTGGTGTGTGAGAGGGCATTTTCAACACTAATTTCATTATTGTAATGAAATCAATGTTTTACATAATTATAAATTAATCATATTGTTTTTAGTGTTGCTAACAAACTGGTGGTAAAGATACTTTATTTCAAGCTTAACTTGCTTTTGACGTTTTTAAGGAGTGCGAATCTGTCTTAAAGTTGAAATTGAAGACAAAGTAATGATTTCATACTGACAGTGACAAACAAATGTTGATACTGAACAGTGGTGCGATGTGGAAACAATTTCCACTAAACTTTTGAAATAAATATGAAACTGTATTACAGTATTATTTTTTCGTTAAAAGTACTATTGATGCATAAATTCAGATTAATCATAAAGGATTCTCTCAATGAGAACTTTTGTCTACAAGTGATGACCAAAAAAATTAATGTGGACAGTAACAACTATTTGATTCTTTAAAGGCATCTTTGAAGAAAGTGAAAATTTAAACCCACCCTTTATTTTTTTAGGAAATAATTAATTCTCCTTTTAATCTCCTATAAATAATAAAGTATTGACTTCAATATTGCAAATTAGAGCTGGGTGTTTAGTAAATTTGCTAATTGATTATTTTTCAAGCTCATTAATCAGTTACATATTTCTAATCAATTATACCCACATGGGATAACTAAAAAAATAAACTAAATATAATACATTACTTGCACATGAGGTAGTAAAAAAAAATTACAGAAGCTTTTGGTACATTTTTTTTAAAGATGATCAGAATATATACTGTTTGGTAAACCAGTAATACTGAGATGCCCACAAGGTCAACATTTTATTTGTTCTTAAAGTATGGAGTAATCCCCATTTATCTGTGAGAATCAAATAAGTTGATAGTCAAATAATAGAAACATGTTTTATCATCACTGATAACAGTCATAATGTTTTTATTTAAAACATATCCTGATTGATATTAGAAATCATTAAGTAACCAGTTAGCTACTTTATTTGTATATATATGTTTGAATACCATAAACATAAAAATAGTATTCAGTAAATTGGGATTTGAGTCATCAGAATATGCTGCTGTCAGTTTCTGCACTCTACCTAACTAGAGCTTACTTGATAATTCCTCATCTAAGAAAATTTTTGTAGCTTTCAAACAGATAAAATTTAACAGACAAATCACTTTCACTCCAATTGGAAACTTTAGTATTGCATTAGTAAATGATTAAACTCTTTGATATGACATCATAAAAAGGTAGCAATAAGGGCTTGTACAAAAAGAAAACAGAAAATGACTATGGAAACACATATCAGCCAGTCCTTCAAAATTATCTTCATGCTATGGTAAAGGTGGAGGAGAATTAGATTATCATTGGTATGAAATTAGTCATTATTTTGCACAAAACAATATTGTAGTGTAAAGTAAGCCAACATATTTTTGTTTTCAATTGGCAAAATGCCAATTTCACACATCTGTAGTTTTCAATTCATATTACATGATTATTTGTAATTGTACATTAGGCTAAAAAAATTATATGTTTATTGTAACATTGCCAGAAAAACTTATAGTGAGTAGGTAGGAATGTTTTTTCAAATATCTTTATTAAACATTATTACCTTGTGTCCTCCACTCTTCTCACGTGTTGAGTGGGGTGGAGGGTGACAGATCATGGAGCTAGCTGTGCACTGGCTCATGTAAGCTTTCTCTCTGTCTTAAGTATTTTTGAAGATGGAATTTAAATGCATTTATACTGCTCACAGAAACTGCTTCAATTGGAAGATTATTTCATTCATCTGTTTCTCCTTAAGAGAAGAATAACTTTCTTAAATCCAGTCTGGAGCTCCACTTATATATTTTATACTGGTGGCCTCTAGTTGTAGAATTATTATCTCTAAAGAAATCTGCAGCATTTAATCTTTCAAGGCCTTTAACAAATGTAAAGACCTCAGTTAAATCACTCTTTTAAATGACAGGTTTCATGTGTTGTGAGGTGTAATTTCTGTAACCTTCTTTCATAAGAAAGATAATGATCACCTGTTTCCATCTCAGATAATCTCTTCTGAACTTGTTCAAGTAGATCTACATTTTTTTGAAGATGTGGATGCCATAATTGGATACAGTATTCTAGGTGATGTCTGATAAGTGATTTGTACAACCAAATTTTAAATAGTTCTCTTAATCCCACTGAAAACGTGATTTGTAGCTTTAGCAGATTGTTTGCTAACACTAAGAGATTTGTGGATAATCACTCCTAGATCTTTTTCTCCATTAATAGATTCAATTACTCTGTTACCTATAAAATAATCATATTGTTCATTATTGAACCCCAAATGTAAACAAACACACTTTAAAAAGTATCTGCCAATCAATTGACCAGTTTAAGATATTGTAGACAAGCTGCATCAGATACAGTTGCTATTCTACAGTTAACTTTGGTATCATCTGCAAATTTTTAAAGCCTACTATAAATGCTTTCATCTGACCCTTGAGACACCCCACTTTTAACAGAAACCCAGTCAGATGCAGTGCCATTTATAATAACTCTCTTTTGATGATTACATAACCATTCTTGGATCCAATTTAACACTTGTGAAGAGATTCCATTTACATAAAGCTTTTGAACCCTTTTGAGACAGGTCACGATTGAAAGGCCATGTCTTCTCGTTTGTTGACTCTCATTCAAAATTTTATTGAACTACTATTTCATAAATTTATGTTAATAACTTTGGTATCAAACTGTAGATTATATTTCAAATTTTAGTACTCCACATTACTCAATTTCTTAATTTAAAAGCAGATATTAAAAACACAGATAAATATAGATTTTTGTGTGACACGTGGTATTTTGAATGCAGCATTGGTTCAAATTAGATGTTTGTGAAGTCTAAATACT